ACTATTAAAAGGATTCATTTCTTCAAAATCAAAAGATTCAACCATTTCCTGTGCTATGTCATGATCATTTCCTCTTGCTTCTTCATACCATTTTAAGGCTAAATGGTTATGTGGTGAAACTCCTATTCCACGTTGATAACATAAAGCAAGAAAAAATTGTCCACTCTTAAGTTCTAATTCAGCTGCTTTTACAAAATAATGGAATGCTTTATATTCATTTCGATTTACTCCTATTCCATATAAGTAGCATTTTCCCAGATTTAAATAAGCATGAGGAAGACCAGATTTTTCTGCCTTAGAATACCAGCCAAAGGCTTGTGTTGCATCCCTATCCGTTCCTTCACCCGTCCCATAGCAAAGGCCAAGATTATTTTGAGCCATTGGAAATTCGGTATCCGTTGCTGCTTTCCTATATATCTCAAATGCCCTAATTGCATCTCTATCTGTTCCTAATCCATTAAAATAGCAATGCCCGAGATTTATTTGTGCTCGGGCATAGCCAGCCTCTGCTGACTTTGAATACCATTTGAAAGCATTTTCATAATCAAATAAAATGTGACGATAAATCTTTCCAAGAAGAAATTGTGCTATTTGAGCTATTTGATCATTTTTATTAGCTGGTTTTGTATAACAATTTATAGCAAGCGTATGATTCTGTTCTATTCTGATTCCGAAGTGATAACAATAGCCTAAAAGAAGCATAAACTGATCATTGCCTTCTTGCAAGTATTTTAAAAATTGTTCTTGAAATATATTTTTGGTTTTATATTCTATATGAATCTTTAACTTTGCAGTTACATCTTTAAAAGATTCACTCGAATTAAGCGCGTCAACAAAATGAATGCACAATTCATTGATTACTGTAGGTACTTCAGAATCTTTTGAATTTGCTTGAGAGTTTTCTGATTTGTTAACGGGAGCTGAAGTCATATTTGGAATCTCTGTTTGCTTTTCGTCAGGTGAAATTTTTGAATTTTCAGTAGGATCTAATGGTGTGGCCAGACTTGTTTTTTTGTTGGTGGTGTTTTCTATATTACATTGGTCAG